CATGTTTCAGCTCTTTCCACAGATGTTCAATAGGATTTAGATCAGGGCTCATAGAAGGCCACTTCAGAACAGTCCAATGTTTTCTTCTTAGCCATTCTTGGGTGTTCTTAGCTGTGTGTTTTGGGTCATTATCCTGTTGAAGGACCCCTGACCTGCGACTGAGACCAAGTTTTCTGACAGTGGGCAGCACATTTCGCTCCAGAATGCGTTGATAGTCTTGGGATTTCATTGTACCCTGCACAGATTCAAGACACCCTGTGCCAGATACAGCAAAGCAGCCCCAGAACATAACCGAGCCTCCTCCATGTTTCACAGTAGGTAGTGTTCTTTTCTTTGTATGCTTCATATGTGCATCTGTGAACATTGAGCTGATGTGACTTGCCAAACAGTTCCAGTTTTGTCTCATCTGTCCAAAGGACATTCTCCCAGAAGCTTTGTGGCTGGTCAATTTGCATTTTAGCAAATTCCATTCTCGCTTTTTTATGAGTTGCTTTCAACAGTGGAGTCCTCCTCGGTGGTCTTCCATGAAGTCCTACCTGTCTGACACTGATGTACCTTGACCTTGGAGTTCACCTCTAATCTCTTTGGAAGTTGTTCTGGGCTCTTTGGTTACCATTCGCATTATCCGTCTCTTCAATTTGTCATCAATTTTCCTCTTGCGGCCACGTCCAGGGAGGTTGGCTACAGTGCCGTGGACCTTAAACTTCTGAATAATATGTGCCACTGTAGTCAGTGTTTGAAAGTTTGAAAACACCTGTGATGCTAATTAGAGGACACACTTTAGTTTAACATGTCTCTATGTTCAAAATATTTTCAGTCCTTTCTAGGGGTACCTTCATTTTTGTCTGGGCCAGTTTCATTAGTTTCTTTTTTTAAATTCTTCTGTTGAACCACAATTCAAAAGCAATGACTGACTTTCTTTAGTTCATTTTCAGTAAATTTTTATTTATTATTACTTTTGTCAGTTTCATGTTATTCCAGTGACCATTGTGAGTTTCTCTTTGTTTAACAGAAGGGTACCAACAATTTTGTCCACGTCTGTATATAGCTAGCTAGCTAATAAAGCTCATATTAGCTTCATGAGTTGGTTGAAAACATGGTTTCTGTCTGACACACTTGAAGTAGAGTAGCATTATGCAGTAAATCGATGCACACTGCTTTTGATGCTGTAACAGACTGAATGAGTGAAAGTTTAATTTTCTTCCTATAAATAATTACATTCAGATTAAAGGTAAACTCACCTGGCTGGCCTGCAGTTCGGCCACATGGTCTCGTCACGACAGTCATCCAAAATGTCTGATGAGAACCAGTAACAGCTTCCGACCCTGACCCAGGTAGTGACCCAGAGTTACACACCTTCAACACAAGAAAACTTTATTTAATTAAAAAAACAAAACTGAACTGTGAGGTGGTAAAATGACAACATAAACAGAGTGTGAACTCACTCTCCACTCCGTCCGTCAGTAAATGAAGTATCAGGGCTCAGGCTGTCTGCCGTCTTTGCTCCTGACAACTGTCTATCTGTTGTCTTCAGACCTCTGTCCACACTCTCCAGGAAGGAGTCCCACTCGCTCTGCACACACAAAAACACAGCGATCAAACTAAACCATGGAGGCAGCTTTCTTTACAGCTGTGATTGCAGTCAAATAAAAGTCATATTTGTCTGAAAAAGACAATGCAAAGTGGGTTTAATCACAGTAGACAAGTATGACAAAATGACAGCATCACTTTTAAAGCCTCTATTGAGCTGTTATTTTATCAGTCAATCAGTGAGTTGCTTAGGCAGTCACAAAAAATGCCAAATACAGAAAGATTCATTTTATAATGACATAAAACAGAGAAAACCAATTAAATCCTCACATTGGAGAAGCTCAAACCAGCAAACATCTATCAGTGCTATGTTGATTAATTGCTTTAGTACTAGTCTGAACCAATGTGTGCTTTATGGCAGCTTCATCGATTTTTTTTTCTATCACAAACCTGCTTATACACAATATGCTGCCAGTTAATTAGATATTCTATTGGACATTATTAGAAACATTTTGCATTGTAAGATGTTTATATAACAACTGTACACACTGTGGATGAGACAAGGATGGTGGAGAATGTGACTCTTAAAATGACCTAGAACGGACATACACATACAGACCTCCAGCTGCAGAAGCACCTCCAGCTGCTCTCTCACTGCTGCTTTGCTGGAAAATTTTAAAATAATTATATGATTATTTAAATTTCCATTAATTACAACTAAAACACAGACACATAGTTTTCAGATTACACTGACAGAGTCAATCCAGGACTCAAATGTGATCTCCATGCCACAGTGGGTAACATCCAACACCTATCAACTGTGATTTTTGAAGCGCTTTTGAAGTGGTGAGTCAGAATTTGATGTTAGGCTGGAAAAACCCAGTGAAACAGTATTTGTATTGTCACAGGACAAGTGTTTAAGTCTAACACAGCATCATACAGTTGAATCAGTTAAAACTATCAGGTTTTGTGAGGACACCAACAGCCAGTTTGAGTTAATCATCAAAATATCTCTGAACAGTATCCTCTTACTATCCATCTGCCAAAATATTAATCTGTACCAAAAGCAAAACCATTTTTCATGCAAAAAACTGATGACCATTTTCTGACATTTTATAAAGCACATGATTTAGAAAATAACTGGCAGATTAATCAATAATTGTTTGGTGTTGTTGTAATCAAAATAAACTTCCAAAAAGAGAACAGAAATAGAACATGAAGTGTTCTGGCAACCTATTGGTAAGATGTGTAAATGTGTGTATTATTATTTTAAATGATCATTTTCCCATACTTACTGATAACACTTTTGCCAAATGGCCTCTGCTTCACTCTTCTTCTTCACTCCAAGACTGCTCAACAATAACAAAATACACTGTTACTTTACACTATAAAAATGCAGTATGTTAACATTTTGATTTTAAAAGTGGTTTGACTTGATTGTGGCTTTGCAGGTATTGAAAGCCTCCCACCTTTTGTACAAGTGTGCTCCAGCTGTGATTAAGCCCAATAAAGTAGTGATCTTATGTGGGACAAAATTCTCCAGGGAGACTGGATGAGAACAAAGGGCCATAGTTATTTGTGTGTAGTGCCATTGTGTTGGTAATAAGCATGACAGGGATTAATCCAGCCATGTGGTCACACTGACCCGTTTTAACTCAAGGACAAGAAGCATGTTTTGTAGCAAAGAAGACAGCTTCAATTACAGTAATAAACATGGTAAATAACATCCAGGCTCATGAAATGGGCAGAGAAATAACTAATACAGCTTAACAGAACATTAATCCAACATAGTGAGAATATACTGTAACCCCAGACCGTATTCAGATTTCCTACATTTTGATGCTCTTATTCTTTGTGAGAACCATACACTGACTATTTAATAAAACGAAATCTATTTTCTAAATCACTTCAATCTTCTTAGCAATTCGGCTAAAATATAACATAAGCAAAGGTTTGCCTTTTCTTACTGGCTCACCTACTGTTGTTGTTTTTCTACAGACTCCTTCCGTCTAAATAAGAACTTAACTCTTTAAGAGTTACTAGGCAACACTAGAGTTGAAACTTATTAACAGTGAGAGCCAATGTGTACTTTCTCTAAGCCGAATTACACGTAAGACCAAACCAAACACAGTCAACTAAGGAGTCGCTCTCTGTATGGTGTCTACCTTTCATGGCAACAAAAACATTAAAAAATTTAACAAAAAACAAAAAATAAATCTGTGACGACTGTCGCAGCATCTAAACCCTTATAGCTCAGTCCTACCTTCTGCATCCTGCTTAGCATTCTGTAGAAGGACGTTGCCCAAGTTGACCAACAGAGTCAAACCACTTGTTAGAGTTTCGTCTGATGCAGTCACATCCTCAGCCATGGTGACCGGCCACAGTCTGGAGGTTTGTACCTACTGTATATGAACAGCCATGTAAGCTAACTTAACTTCCTGATCACGTGACAAAATCACGTGCGCCGTGAATTAAGAATTAAGAGAGCGATTTTAAAGTGGTAAAATATTTCAGAATTTTAAGTTTAAATACAATTAACTAAAAATATAAATATTAAATTTTAGTTACACTTTTTATTGTTAAAAACAGCATAGTTTAAGCTATAGGTTTATTTTAAGAAAATGATCGTTTACAATATATTTTTTAAAAGGAAATGTTTAATTTTAATAAGTTTAGCTGTTAAAGTGAACATTAAAAAGTACTATTTATAAAATATTCTTATATTTATTGATTTAAGAAATACAGAAGTACTACTTGGGAGAGAAACGCCTCTTATATTTTTAAATGTGGGTCTATTTAACAGTAATAATGAATAATTAGTCAGATCACTGCAGGTAATGTTGCAGCAAAGTCTTTCCAAAAAACCCTACAACAGAGCCTGTTAAAACTGTCAACCAGTTTTATTGACTGCTGAACATTCATTAACTCATTCCATAGAAACATTCTCTCCTTCAAGTTGAGATAAGTTGTGCACTCATGGCCCTCAAGCCCATTGTAGCACTTAATGACTGGGTCACCCAGTCTGTTCACCCAAAACAGAAAATGACAACCAGTCATCTCAATCGCTGATATGAAAAAGAAGATGTGGCGCAAAGCAAGTGTAGGTCAATCACTGTCATTAATGCAGGAAATAAACTGAAAAGGTCAATTTGTTCTTAATCTGAGGAAATTAACTGATTAAATAAGAAATGAACAAAGTGGACATTTGAGTAACAATTGCTACAGCACTGACATGACTTTCAGAAGTGATACTTTAGCATTTAAAGGCTTCTGAATGATGAAAGCTTCAGTTAAAAACACTGCTCAAATTTGTTCACTCAGTGCTTGTAGATAATCTCTGGTGAATTACTAGCCAACCCTATAGTCTGTCCCTCCTTGTGCTTAAACTCACACTGAGTTATTAAAAACAGGCAGCAGCAGCATACACACTAATTTTGTTTTATAAGGCTGCTGTTTGTAAACATCACATCATTACCCCTACTACGCCCAATCAAAACAATATTACCTGCAATTCTGAAAAACATAAAAGATCAGGTGGATCATTTGTAGCAGTCATCGATTTTGTGGAGGAACGCAGTGACAAAATTTGGTCAGAGTCAGACTTTTGAACTAATAAAATTTAGACAGCAAACAGAAATCTACACAAGTAATACCGCCTCAGACATTTTCAAATTTACAGCCAATTTTATGAATTTGTGAAAATTTTTTCTGAGATTTACTCCAGAGATCTTGACAAGACTGTTGCTTAAACAAATAAATAAAATTCAGACAATGTCTTATGATTAAGACATATGAGCTCTTTTGTCCCAAACTATTGCTCTGAGTTGTCATAAACAACTGTTTGTTTGTTTTTTTACAGGAAAATCTGAATCTATAAAATCCACAGAAAAGACATGTGAGAGAGACATATGCTGTTGAACATAAAATAAAGGAATGAGTGCAAAGACAGCAAGCTAGGTGGTGTGCTTTTCCTCATACAAGATCCCACAATGAATATTTTCTGCCGATCAACTGAGTAACTGACTGATCTTTTCAGACCCAGATGAGACAATGTAAAAAAAAAAAAAAAAAAAAACCCAAAAAAAAACCTGGGGCAATGCCACCCTCAGGTTTTGCTGTAATATAAATACAAAATAAAAATCAGGTGGCTCTTATATTAGTTCTGCAGTCAACTCATCTTTATACCAACCCATTACTAGTCACATGAAAAAAAAAGCAGAGTTCAACACCCAAGGAGACATGTGATACTTCCTACTACTTCAAGAATCCCATTAGCCCTGAAGGTTCTGTCTTATATATTTAAAATACCTGAATTGTCCTCTGCTGAAAGGTGGGACACCGTGGGAGCACAGCAGTGGTTAAAAGAAAACTTTAAAGTGCCAATTACACTTTTCAATGTTAAATAAAAAATGTTTTTCAGTACCACACAGTATCATTCAAACATGCAATTGAACATTCTGGGTTGTCTAAAACTAGAGATTTAGGCAGGGCTGTGCAAGAAGTGTGACATGCTGACGGGGCATGAGATGGGAGTTTGTGCTTTGGGTTTTTCACGCCTGTGGAGCAGAGGAGGCGATGGGAGGGAGGAGAGACTCACATCTGCATCCAAAACTCATTGAAATGTCCTGCCTCGATGTTCTCTGTCATTTCAGCATAGCAGCTAATTCAAGGTACTCTTGTTTCCAAACCACCAATATTTCAATACTTTGCTACTTGACTCATTCAACACTGAACTTTATAGACATTATACTTTGGCAAAATGTGCTGTTACTTAAATTTCTATTTTAGTCTCAAATAATTAAAAGCTTGAAAATAAAAGCCAGGATGTTGCAGCTGGAGAGGGAACACCTGAAAACCTCATTTTGAACTGGATCCCAGTTCACATACTGGTTGATCAATTGGCACTGAGGAAAATACTGGCATCAATAAAAACTGACGAGTGCCCAAACAGCATCAATAATACCACTGCATACAGCTTAAACGATTCTGTCATTTTTCAAACAAAACTAGTGAAAAAATGCCCAAAATGATCCGATTTCAGCCTCCTAGAGAGGATTTCACTGTTTTTCTTTAACAGTGCAAACTGAATATTTGGGAACGTTTGGTCAAAAAAAAAAAAAAAAACAATAAATAGACAATAAAGAAAAAGTATGCAGATTAATCAATAATAAAGGTAATTAGTCATCAGAGAAACTGAGACTGATGAACTTTGGAACATCTTTGTTGCTGTGGTACTCAAAAAGAGATGCCTTTCTAGATGCATTAGTAATCATAGTACTTTTTTACAGCACTTTAAAATAGCTTTTACAAACGTAAGATGTGAGTATTTAAAGGGAGGGTGACAGAGAACAGAGCAGCTCTGATACCAAACAATGGTCACGACTTTGTAGAGGAAAAGCCTCTAACATAAACTTCTGAATTTGCATTAATATCCTCTCCTTTCTACTAAGGATGGAGGAAAACAGACTACCTACTTCCAAAATGTGTCAAGCAGCATTTCTTTCATTAAAGACAAGAGAGCTGAGCTTAGTTTTGTTTGAGTGGCAGAAGAAGACAGTCCCTTTGCTTTGCCCAGTGCAGAAGCTTTAGTATTAAGACATTATTAGACAGACGCATCTCCTGTGCAGAAGCCGAGTTAAGACTTCTTTGGACAGTGTGAAGATGAGTCTGTATTGAGGACCTCGATCATGGTTCTGGTGGACGGGAAGGTCTCTGCTACAGACGGAAGACTCTGGTACCAGCTGGGTAAACTGTGGCGAGAGAAACGTTACAGACAAGCGTCTCTGTGAAGCAGAGGAATATCTGAGTCGACGATCTAAACAGCAGCAGAGGAACATTCTCACCTCTTGAGATTCATCCAGCTCCTTGCTGTTTTACTGAAGTTGTCCGGGCTGGGTGTGGTCATGGCTTCAAAATCCACCAGCTGAATCAACAACAAACAGCTCAGAGGACAAACTACATGTATTTCACTCCCTTTGAGGCAATGTACACACATACAGTTACATTTAAAAACACTTTATAAATCTCTCTTTGCTGCTTTTGGCATCTTCCCTTTAGAATAAATAAATCCAGGGTTCCTGCTCCTGCTTTGTACTGTAGCCTCACACAAACAAACCTTTTGTGTAATGGATTGCTTTACAGGCACAGTCAGGCATTTTGCAGCAAAAAGAATCATCTCATTCTCAGTTTTGTATTCATGTTATTTTCCTTGAGCAAAGGAGATTATACTTCTGCGAGAAATCTATAGCACTGATCTTTATTAGTGGATGTAGCTCACTGTTCACCTGCAGCCTTTATATGGATCTGTTAGCATTTGGTGTCGTGTTGGAAATGTTACAGACAAATGGTGAAGTCACACCTTGAAATATTTCAGTTGAGAATGTTTTTTATAAAATGTCTCTCATTCAGGCACGAGACCAACACATAAAAGTGCCAGAACCTTTATGTAAAGACATGCACATCTGTAAGGAATGTTACCTTTCCTTTAGGGATCCGATCGATGACCTCTTTCCCAGTGGCCATCAGGGCCCCCATCACGACGGAGTAGGCCACCACACTGAGGGAAAGCAGATCAGAGAAACATTACACACTGCTATTAAAACAACAGCTCAACCTTGTACTGCTCTTCTCTTATTTTTAAGTCAAACTAGGACATTTTTAAGAACTTTTCAGACATCACTGTAGAGGAAAGGCTTTCACATTAAGTATGAAACATATTTGACTAGAATTACCTGAAATCCACAAAGTCTGAGAATCACAGACCATAAATATGGATTTCTCATTATGCTGCTAAATTGAAATGGTATTTTCCAGTAATGATTTTCACATAGTTTTTTCTGTCTGCGTTTTGATGTCTACTGGTTTTAAATGTTAAGATTTTTCAGGAAGAGTTCCTGAGAATCTAAACAAAAACTGAAATGACAAGTACTAGCGCATCACTTCACACAAACCCACTGGCAGTGGAGATGACAGTGGACTTCAGGAAGAACATTCCTTTGTCTCTTTGCATTGTTTATTTTGTTATACTACACAGCCGTATGTTGGTATATTGTTTACTTGGCCCTTGTTGCTGCCTTGCATGGGGATATGTACATACACATTGAGTGCTGCTGCACCAGAGTCAAATTCCTTGTGTTCAACACACCTGGCCAATAAAGCCAATTCTGATTCTGACTCTCATTAGTTATTCACCCGTGGAAATATTTAACATTATGCCTTGAGGCTGTGTCAGCGTAGAAATTACCTGGATCCTCTGGAGAGAGGCATGAGGTTGCAGAAGTAATAAACCAAGGAGAGGATCAGGTTGCACGCAGCATCTGCATCCTGAGAGAACAGAGATCATCACAACCATCAAAAACTGGCCTGGCGTGAGACTTTCTAGTCCTTTATCTATTAACTGTCTTCACTGTGCATTGTCTGTTTTC